AACGTTTCCCTTTACTTTTTTAATTTTTTTTTTGTATTTTTTAACTACATGTTGTTCCGTTTGCCATTATCATTCAATTTCACAGATAACAAATGTTCATATTTATTTAATTTTTAATAAACAAAATATAAAAATTGTTATTTTTTTCTAATTACCATTTTAATATCCTAATATTGTTAATGAAAATGCATTAGAAAAAAAATTTTTCCATTTTTTTCCAAAATCTAAATATACATACATTTTTTTTCATAATTTTAACATATTTCCTTCTTCATTATTTCATCGTTTTTAACTAATCAAATTAAATTATGAAATTATGTATTCTTTTTCGCAGAATAAATTTACTAAAAAAAAAGAGAAAAAAAACGAAACGAGAAATTTTAACAAATCGAAAATTTTCCTTCTTTTTCCAGCTATATTAGATTTTTAAAGAAAAGAAAAAAGAAAAAAACATTTCGTATTTTTTTCTTTTATTCGAATCGTACCACTTTGTTCATATCATATCATATCATGTGAACATTTTTATTCATTTAAACTTTTTCATTTCAATTATTTCTAGTACTTTACGATTTTTTGCAGAAAAAAAAAGAGAATGATGGGAAAAGTAACAGATGAAAAGAGTGTAAAGAATTGTTGTTAAGATATTTTTGAATTTAAAACAATTAGCGAAGGATGATGAATGACAGTATTATATAATGCAGTCAGATCGAATTGATTTATTTCTTCTTCTCTTGTGCTTTTTTTTTAATTTTATTTTATTTTATTTCATCAACAAATTTATATATACATATTGTTCATTTCGAAATTATAAGACGGCTTACATTCGATAGTAATTTAAGGACAGTGAGCATTGAAATGTGAAATTTAAATGACAGATAAAAGATTTTCAAAAAAGAAAAAAATTTCATTCCGAAATTTTGAAATTCCAAAATTACTCACACTAAAATTTCGAAAACTTAAAATTGTATACTTTTTTTAAAGCAAAAGAACTTTGTGAAATTTAAATGACAAAAATTAAAAATAATCGACCATTCATAATATGGAATCGCTAATTGCGCTTGCATGATCATACTAAGTTTGATCGTGATATCTTAATTGCTATAAATGATAATGATACAACAAACATAACAATACGTAGATATGTGTGCACATACACACACATATATATATATATATATATATATATACATACATACATGTACACATACATACACATATGCATACATACATGCATGCATACACATACACATTCATACATACATGCATACATAATTTTTATACTTTCACTAAACTAATGAGAATAATTTTATTCCTACAACCAGGAAGAAACATTTGAGATATCTTCGTACTTAAATAATTAAATTTAATTTAATCAGAATATATGAAATAGGGAATTTATT